ATTGGTAATCGTAGTATTTCAAAAGAGCATAAGTCTACTTTCAATAGCAAACCACTGCAAAAAGGACAAACGAGACAACATAGCCGATGACATTGTCGTAAAATTGTCGATTGAAACAAATGTTATCAACTTCGCGACGATGCGCAAAATTTGGTGTCAATATGTATGCGAGGTCCTATGTTTGTCGGAATAGTTAGCATTTGGTATTTTTCAAGGTTTTGTCAGAACTCAATTTTTTGTTCCGCCCGTCACTGCGCGAACTCGCCGTTACTTCCATAGCGTGCCATCATGGTTAGAGGCGGTTCAACGTAGGGTTTTATCATATTACTATATTGATTAATTTGTAATGAGAAATACAGATATCTTACGGCTTATTTACGTTATATTATAATAGAAGAGTAAAAATATAAATACACATGAATTCATACTTATTTCAATGTTTTTTAAAAAAACTCGATTAATAAAAATATATCTAAAATAATTATGTGACAGTGCGCCCCTGATCCCTCCTTGCCTGCGATCGTTCAACTTGCTTCGTTCTAGCTGTTCGCACAAAAAGCAAAAAGTGAAGTCTTTGTTTGTGCGGGGCAAGGAGTAGTAAGCATCAGCATACGTGTACTTAAGAATGTATGTGTGATTAAAATTTCTATAAATACGCATCAATTAAGGATTATTCAATAAGCCTAAACATATGAACATATTTTCCTAAAATATAATATTTTAATTATCTTAGAAAGTAAAATATGCTAATAAAGTAATTGAATTGAAATCAGCTAAAATGTCAAATAATAAAATAAAATAAAAATTAAGATTTATGATTTGTAGGATTCGAACGTAAGCGTTTGTATTCGGAATGGCTTAACTCCTTCACGCTTACGACCTGGGTCACCGCAAAAGTGGAATCTTTTATTGTTATCCTTTGCCTATTAGATATTGTTCATGCAACGCACAAAAATGTGTTGAATAATTTATCAATTAATTACTTATTTTGTTGTAAATTCTGCGGCTTTACCAATAATCCTCTTATATAATTTGAAGGTTTTTTTTTACATTACAAAAATTATTATTATGCAAATGTAAATCAGCATGCGCATAATTCTGTTTTAAAATGAATGATTATTTGTGTCTATTTATATGTAGCCTTTTCCCCGTTACGATCATTGCATGGTGTATTTCAAATGAGTCGAAGTTCTATTTTTCGATGTTCCCTCTTGTGAAAAGCTCAATTTAGTACTTTTTAACATTTGTACCTTCTCTACTTATTAATATTTATTTACCGATATTTGCGGAATAAAGTCAGCCGGAAGTTCTAAAATCTTTATATTAGCTGTATGGGAGCTAAAGGAAGTTTTGATTCTGTTCAATCCATTTTTGACATACAAGCATAATATTATCAGGAAAGGAATTTTTCTGAATTTCAATAATGTATTTCACAGATTGACCAACATTTTCGGTAAAAAGTTCGCAATACGAACTAGGGTCCACATATTCGGAAGATGAGGGGTTGAACAGTTGAAGCCCGATTTTGACAATTTTGGATCATAAGGTGCACACCTCAAATGCTATTTCTGCAAAGTTTTATCCGGATACATTGATTGATTCTTGATTTGTATTCTGGAAAGTGAATGAATCAGCTGAAATTTAAAATTGTGTTATATGGGAGTAGGCGTGGTTTTTGTCCGATTTAACCCATATTCGCTGTGTAATGTAGGAAGGCCAGGGTAATATTATCTGACGAATTCGGTTGCAATCAGCCGAGAAGGTCCCGAGATATGGGTTTTGACCCAAATATGGGTGGTGCCATGCCCAATATCTTAATTTGACATTGGCTCCTCTAAAGCCCTCTTTTATCATCTTAGGTGTAAATATTAATGTCTCTGGAGCATTTAGTTATTTATTTATCGCGCTTTTAGTAGTTTTTAACAAGACCGTTATATGGGGAAAGAACGGGGTTATAATCAGATTCCATCCATTTTCACAACATCGCTAGGGGTTTTTATAGGTAGGGGTATATATGTACTTACATATCCGATAACTTAAAAAGTGAAATTATTTAAAGTAGTCAGATAAAGTTTTCGTCAATAGTTAACTGTAAAGAATTATCAGTATACTTGTATATATCACTATATAAAACACGAATAGTTGTTAAAAATATATGAATTACTCAAGGAATTGAAGCAAATTCACATCTCCTTAAATGAGGAATGGAGTCAGAAAGTTTCAATTAACTTCATTTGTCGCTCTCTCTTTTTTACTTGAATAGCTATGTTTGTACGTACTTAGAGTAAGTGAGGGTAATGTGATATAGGTATAAGCTTTTTTGTCAGTAACTCAAAAATTCTAAAACGTTTTTTACAGAAAAACATGCAGTAATACATAAGTAATCATTGTTTCATCGCGCAAGGTATACCAAAATACGATTTCGATGTTTTAAGTAGTTTGAGAGATATTCCATTAGTATCTTAGATAGTCAGGAAAGTAGTTTTTCCAAAATTGGTGGGTAATGTGATTTATTTAGACAGACATTTGCTATCAGCTCAAACAGGTCGAGCATGTTTCATTAAAAGCAGAGATGGTTTTTTTTTGGGAACATAAGGAATGGTGGAACAAAGGTCCCCCTCAGCTCAATCAGCTTATACAGTTATGAAAGATCCTCTTTCGGCTGATGTCATGTACCCATTTGTCTTTTTCCTTTTGCAGCAAATATTTTTGGCTGCTTTATATAAACTTCTGTTTTATCGACATTCTCAACATTGATCTAAAGATCCTGCCTAAAGAAATACTAGTGCAACTGCGTAAACTTATTTCCCTTTTATGCCTTTTTAGAAAGCCACGAACCAATCTCTCCCAGCGCATTCTTTGATTACAGAAAATGGGTTCTCAATATTGTTTCGCTATTTTGCTTATTGAAATATAAGCGAGCGGACGGCACTTCGAGTTAGTTCAACAACTTTGCCTCCATTTATTTCAAATATCTTACAAGCTTCACTTCCACATTCCGGTTAAAAGCAAGCTTACGTCCCAATAGCACGGCTAGTATGTTGTCGACTGCTTTATAACTGCGTGCAGATTACAAATTTCACATCATTCGACGCCAAAAGTGTCCCTATCTTTTCACCTCTTACAGCCTGGATAGCCTTTTTCATATTTTCTGCATCCCACTTGCGAGTTTCGCCTTTCTTCGGCATTCGGAAGATTATAATCAAATATATTTACGTAAGAACCAAAGTAATGTGCAATAAATTTAATATACATATGAATGTAGAAAACTCGGAGTAATCGTATATCCAGTATTGAAATTTATTCACTATTTGTCTTCCACTGACACTACAGAACGTGTTCTTATTCTATGACTTATTAAACTAAAAAGTAAATTTCAAAGACAGTATTAAATGTTATATTTTAATGCAAATAAACTCAAATAGTAAGTACAAGTAAGATCTATTTTATATGATTCCCTCTGTGAAAATAGAGAAAATCACATATTGTACAAAACTGAGATTAATTAGATTATTGGAAAAACATATTCAGAAGTATTCACATTTCCGTGTGCAACTGTACCGAACAAAGTTAGTTTCACTTTCACACTGCTACACTGAATTGTTTATGCACATACGAGTACGTAAGTAGGTATCCCTACAAGAAACTGTTAATGGATAACATTTGTTATGTCAGTACCCGGCAATTGACCGTCACTGTTATTGTTAAAAAGAGACTCTTACGATTTATATTGCTTACTATAGCTTAATATAAGTATGTAAGAATGAAAAAGCTGCATTCCTTAGGACTGTCACCACTGACAGTCAAACAAACAGTAAAATTACTGTCAATGTTTACGATTTTTCCAAAAGCAAATTCTGTATACGTCAAAAAGAAACAGCATACATTTCCAAAGAAGTTTCGAGAAGTGGTGAAATACATATGTAGCTGTTATTCCATGCGATAAACCAAAATGTTGCGTGCTACTGTGCAATACCTCCTTTTGTGTTAAAAAAATAAATAAATAACGAAGGATTTTTCAAATATAATATACGTATGTTATTATTAAGTTTCAAAAAAATTATATTTTTAATTAATTTTCATTTTTATTTAGGCATTTTTAAATTCCGAAATAACCATGAACTGGAGAAACAGGTACAGCAGAGCTTTTGAGAGGAGCAAGCATGGAGTCAAATGAAAATTTCTTTTCACCATTTATTATTTAATTACATTTTTGTTGCACTCCTTTTTTATATTTATATACTCGTTCATTACTATAACTAATTTTAATTAAAATTTTTAAATTTATTTTAGAAATAAAAAATTTACAATATACTGCTCAAAAGAATTTTTCACTTGTGATAAATTTAGTCATAACTGACATATATTACAGCTATTATAGCGTTTCATTCATAACTGAACATTTTCAGCTTTGATGGATTTATGATCAGCAATGACTTAGGAAAAGGCATGAGAGTGAGCAGTATAAATACATATTTAGTGAATCAATTCCGAATATCCATGTGTTAAACGGAGATACAAAATCACACACATGCGTAGTTTTTACACAAGGCTCTTAAGAAAATGATAGAAACTTTGTTCTGCGGGCTGACAAAATTTTTTCAGCTGTGAATATCATATTGCCGGTCAGATCACTATCACTGTTCTTATAGGGTATATTAACTCACACAACAACAATAAAAACAACTGAGATACGAAGAAACATTAATTTTAAGTAATTATCAACAACAGAATCTAGTTAATGGTTGCAAATTTTTTATATACATATGTAAATACTTATATGTACATATGTACATACATAGATATGTTTACTTGTAGAGTCGGTAACTTTTCAATGATAAATTATGCGCCTTAAATCAAACATTCTTATACATATGTACATATGTATGTTTGTTAATAATATAACTAATAACAAGTTTGTTTTGAGGGAACAATAAAAAACGGTGCTTTTTAGAATTCTGGGAACTTATTAATTATAAATTGCTGGCAACTTTACTTACCTCAATATTAGGAACACTATTTTCCATACTCATTATGACTTGATTTGCTTAATATTGATATCTGATAAATTCGTTTGATTTTTTAAAAGTTGGTATTATACTACGTTATTTCCAACTTCCTATACATATAAGTATACTTATATATACAGACATTAAAATATATGAATGACGCGCTCTTACACTCCGTATTCGAGTTGTGCATTTGTTGGCGTACAGAACGAAACTGTTTCAAGTTCCTCTTACAAATGTCTTCAAGGTACTGTTTAAATTTGCAACAAACAAGTGCGGCAATCTTTCGACTGACACACCAATATTGCTGTGAGATTGATCCGATAGGAAAAAAGTAATAAGAAAACTCCCAGTAATAAAAAAAACATTACCTGAGTTTCAATATATTAATAAAATGGCATGCGCTTAACAATCAGATAAACAAAACCCTACATTCCAAAAAATTAAATGTGGCCTTTAATATACTAGATAAATACATATGAATGTATGTACATACATATGTACATATTTGAGCCGTAAACTAATAAATGTATAAATAAATGCATACGTACATATGTAAGTAAGTACATACATATGTATGAATAAATAAAATACCTACATAATTAAGTATTTACTTATGGATGTACGTAAATAGATGAAAGTAATTTTTATAAAAGTAAAAAACGGTTTTGAGGGAACAGATAATAAATGATCTCATTTGTTGTATTGTATGTTATTTAAGTTTACATTCGCTATTACGGAAAATTGGGAATCATTTCAACATATCTTAGAACAGCAGTAGAGCACCGTTTATTATAAACATTAGATTGACGAGATGAGATTCTTCCTTGATTTCTGTTAGTCCTTTGGCTTGAAGATAGAAGATATTGTAAATCATCACAAAAGTAAATTAATAATTCCGTTGACCCCACAAGTGAGGTTCGTCAAGAAATATGATATTTTATAACTGTAACGAGTAAAGAAAAAAAGTTAAGCTTAGATGGTTACACAACAATGGATTGAATTTGCAATCATAAAACATAAGGATTTGTTAAAATATTGGTAAATATGTACTTAATGACCCCCACTTCGTAGGGGGTTGGGGTTGTAAGGGGTGACACAATTAAGTGTCCTTTTTATGAATTCGAAGGAATTACCCGTCGGTCACCCCTTAAAAAAAAGTTATGTAGATTACAAATCCGTGAGCGGAAAGTAAATTTTTTCAATAATTTATGTATATTGTCAATATTTATTTACACACTTTGCACATATCACATATTCAAGTCACTTAGTTGTTGTTGTTGCTGTAGCGGCAAAATTCTGTAGAATTCAGATCTCTTAGCTGTAATTACCAGTTCAGTGTGTTAAACATTTTCTTATGAAAAAAATATACTGAAGAAATGTAATAGTCAAAATTTCTTTTGTGCCGCGTTTTTATGGAATGAATGAATTTCGGAGATCGTTGAACTCCTTTCCGCAATGGCGGCCTTCGGCCGCGCTTCAAAAAAATAACCCTGGTCGGTCCAAAACCGGGGTGTTCATAATTCAATTGCGTCAAGCTCCTTTCTGCACAAACAGCAGCGAAAAGGATTTTGACGCGATTGAATATGAACCCCGGTTTTGGACCGACCAGGGTTATTTTTTTGAAGCGCGGCCGAAGGCCGCCAGTGCAGAAAGGAGTTTGACGCGATGAATTATGAACACCTCGGTTTTGGACCGACCAGGGTTATTTTTTGAAGCGCGGCCGAAGGCCGCCAGTGCAGAAAGGATTTTGACGCGATTGAATTATGAACACCCGGTTTTGGACCGACCAGGGTTATTTTTTGAAGCGCGGCCGAAGGCCGCCAGTGCAGAAAGGAGTTTGACGCGATTGAATTATGAACACCCCGGTTTTTGACCGACCAGGGTTGAATTTGGGATATGCTGTTTTCACGAAATTTTAACCCTTCATATAATTTTTTGAAGGGGTATTGC